CTCTTTCTCTCTCTCTCTCTCTCTCTCTTTCTCTCTCTCTCTCTCTCGCAAATACAGCTTTTCTGTGTTGGAGACCATAGGCTGACATAAGCGCACAATTGGATGTATTGGTGGAGAGAAGGGTCACTTTGGCGCCAAAATGTAGAAAAGTTGCTCAAAAGGGTATCCTTTGTATGGCAGTGATGGCCAACCATTGAAAGCAACGCAGAATATATTATTCACACAAAAGACACACAATTGAGTGTCGGACCAAAGAAGCAGTAGAGCACCGGTAGTTGAGTAGTGGTTCAGTAGTTCAGATGAGTGACCCAACTGTCCTGCAGCGGCCAGAGGCTCAGGGTCTGCTACTTGTGGCTGAACTGGCATTCATTGAATAGCTGTTTGTCACGACAATAAGAAGGAGAAGGAGGAGGAGCTGGAAGTCTGCTGAATGAACATCTGTCGATTGAAGCACTTTGTGTAGAAATGTTCAGATCTCATACCTGATCCCCATTTCCTGCACCCATTTCCCCATTTCCTGAACCGACCGACAATTTATGAGATGTTAGCGACGAATACCTCTTAAATACCTGTATATGAGAGAAGGCATTGAAGGCATTGAAGGCATACCTATATTGCTATCTCGACGTTAAACCAGTGGTAACTCCACTCCAAAGCACTTTCAAAGCAATGCAAATGCGATCAACAGTTGAGTCGAGTTTGCTTTGCATTCAAACTCAATTTGATTGAGATTTGGGTCATATATTCATTCAAAAATATTAAATACAAGTTTATTACTATTTTTCTGTTATCCTAAACACCACCAGTTGTTTCGCACTAAAAAACCTATCGATTGTATAACCGTTTAAATGCTCTCAAAATAATTAAACACTGAAAGCAATTAAATCCAAAAGTAGTTTAAAAATCAGTGTTTGGAGAGAAAAGTGTGTAAAACAATAGCAATTGAAATGTTTCATAGGTTTCATTGAAATACACATAAAGTTTAGAAATAATTGACAAATAAATAGCTGAAAGATTGGGAAAAAGTTGGAAATGAGTTCATATACTGCACTAACAGTAATACTATCGCATAGTCCTGTTCCCAGTCCTGACATCACTTCATATGACTTCATATGACACGACACGACATGACCTCTACTTATCACTAATTACTGTCATAATCGATGTTAAATACCATTGACAGACACAATGGGAAAGTTAGTTCTAATAAGAGATGTCACCACTAATTGATCCCAATCTGCAATTGAATAGAAGTTTAGTTCAAAACTTGTTTCACAATCTCTTTTAGAAAACATTTTCACAAAAAATCATTTCTAATAAAACATGAATTGATTGAAACAAATGCTCTCTAATTAGAAATTCAATGCAAAGATGTTTTTGAATCAATTGAATCGTTTGCATAAAGTTTTGAACAAAAAGTTGGTTTTGAATCGTTATTACAATGCAAACAAATACCCAATCATTGGATCGGAAGTCAGTCGACAATCAAATGAATTCAAAGTAATGCCAAAAATATAAATTATAAAATGCCAGACATCTGAAGTAAAACATCTGCCAATTGGTCCCCATTTGGACTCAATCTAAGCGTTTTGTTTATCATTTCAGAGTAATTATGAATCGATGCAGACATTAGTGAAACACTTAAAGACTTTAGTCCAGAGTGTGAGCGAAGGTGGAGACCCAAAGTCACGCTTAAGACACACTTCCAAAGGCAAACTCCTAGTCAGGCAACGGGTGAATGAGCTGTTGGACCCATTCTCGGCATTCCTCGAGTTGTCTCCATTGGCCGCACATAACTGTTATGGCAATGAAGTGGTCAACAGCGGAGCCATTGTCACGGGAATCGGTCGCATCTGTGGCCAGGAGTGTATGGTTGTGGCCAATGACGCCACTGTAAAGGCGGGCACTTACTATCCTCTGACCGTCAAAAAGCACTTAAGGGCTCAAGAGATCGCGAGACAGAACCGGTTGCCCACCATATATCTGGTGGACTCGGGCGGTGCCAACCTTCCACATCAGGCCGACATCTTCCCGGACGCCAACCATTTCGGTCGTATCTTCTATAACGAGGCCGTCATGTCTTCAGAGGGCATCCCACAGATCGCTGTAGTGATGGGCAGCTGTACGGCGGGCGGCGCTTACGTACCGGCGATGGCCGACGAGAATGTGATCGTCCGAAGACAGGGCACTATATTTCTCGCCGGACCGCCGCTCGTGAAGGCGGCCACCGGAGAGACCGTCTCCTCAGAGGAATTGGGCGGAGCGGACATGCATTGCAGGTGAAGACATACCATTAGATAACAGACTTTTGTTGCATTAAAAAGCATTCATGCGATTCGTTGACATTAATTAGATCTCAAATAATAATAAACTAAACACTCGTTCACTATTTCAATGCAATAACACATTAAACCCAACATTAATCTCGGTTTTAAACCTTGAATCACTTGAAACTAATGTTTAACTTGAAAGTCACTTATCTTTCAACGACTAGTGATTTAAAACTTCTGCAATACTTTAACGAAGTTCTACATCCGATGCACTAAAAAACTATTTTTTATTTTAAGAAACCCTTTTTCATGAGGAGTACAGAAGTCATGAATTCATTAACGTTTAATCGTTTTTTAATTGTCAGAACCGGAAGAGACCCTAACATTAGAATCAATTGAATACTATATTCATTATACAAACCATAAATACATTGAATAATAATGTGATAAAACTTGTCTCAACAGTACGTCAGGTGTGACCGACTATTACGCGCATAACGACAGACATGCGCTACAAATCACCCGAAATATTGTCTCAAATCTGAACCGACAAAAGAAAGTCGACATAACTGTGAGCCCGGATGTGACTGAACCCAAGTGGCCCATCGAAGACATCTACGGCATTGTCGGCACTGACCTCAAGAAGTCATTCGATGTGCGGGAAGTGATAGCGCGTGTCGTCGACGGCAGTCATTTCGATGAGTTTAAAGCCCAATACGGGTCGACACTCGTCACCGGATTCGCTCACCTCTACGGCTATCCCATAGGAATCGTCGCCAATAATGGGGTTCTGTTCTCGGAGTCGGCGCTCAAAGGCTCACATTTCATACAACTCTGTTGTCAACGAAAGATTCCGATCGTATTCTTGCAGAATATCACAGGATTTATGATCGGAAGAGAGGCTGAGAGCAGTGGTATTGCAAAACACGGCGCAAAGATGGTGACGGCTGTGGCGTGCGCTCAGGTGCCCAAACTGACGCTTATAATCGGGGGGTCGTATGGGGCCGGCAATTACGGGATGTGCGGTCGCGCGTATTCGCCACGATTTCTGTATATGTGGCCAAACGCCAGGATTTCGGTGATGGGAGGGGAACAGGCGTCTGGGGTTATGACTACTATTACTAGAGAACAAAAGCTGAGGGAAAATAAGACACTGACTGACGAAGAAGAGCGAGCTATACGGACGCCAATTGAGGCGAAATTCGAGGCCGAGGGAAGTCCTTATTACTCGAGCGCTCGGCTTTGGGACGACGGAGTCATTGACCCCAAAGACACGCGAAGAGTACTCGGACTGAGTCTCAGCGCTGCCCTCAACGCAGACATCGCCGACACTAAGTTCGGGGTCTTTCGGATGTAATACTTGGTTCGCGACCATCGATGAGATGATTTGTGTTATTCATATAAATATTTGTTTAGTTTATTATTAATTGAATCTATTTTTCTATGAAATTAAAACCAAAACTATATAACAATTAAATGACAAAAAAATAAGTTTATAATTCAATAAAAGCCACATTTGATTGATTCACGAATTGACTTGTTTTGAGTCATCGATGTCTATGATCTCATCCAAGAACTTCTCCTGTTTGACGGCAAACATTGAGTATAAGTCTAGAAATGGTAACAAATGGGTGACAATTGGCATCACATAAACAGATCATTCAATCGATACATACAAACTGATCCCACAAAAGTGGTCAACATTAAACCCAATGTCTTATTCAAGCGATTAGTCTTGACCATCTTGGTCACTCTGTCTCTGTTCATCTGCTCAGCCCTTCGCATGAACCCGGAGTAGACATCATTAGTCTTGGGATCCTCTTTACCACTCATTGTCCACTCAATCCAATTGTAACACAAATTTATGTTTTCATAACTTTTAAACACAAATCACATGTTCTGTAATCAGGGTTCGATGTTTACCATATCATTCATGTCAAATTGCCGGCACTCGCATATTTGTAAAGTTTTCAATGTTCAGTGTACTGTATGTGGAAATATTGCCGTTCATAGGCATGACATTAAAACCAAAGGGAATCTCACAACACTATTATACTACTGTATTATGTAACACATTGGTAACAAAACACATAAATACTGTGACATTATTTCAAACATATCTAGTTTATTGGAAATTATTTAATTGTCATTAATAAGCATTGAATCAAAATATATTTAATTTTCATATTAAATACAATGTTTTCGTGGAAATATTTACAAATAGTTAATGGAATCAGTGCTAGAATTTAAGGTTAAATCCTCCGCCTTTGGAGGCCTTCCCCTGGACGGGTAGACTCATGTGAAAGCCTTGGCTCTCAATCATCTTCTCGTAGTCATCGCCGGCCAACTGTTTAGCGAACTGTTTGCCACCACTGGGAGGCTTAGGGCTGTGAGCTTTGCGGGGCTGAGAGTTACCCGACTGTTCACTCTTGGCGGGCCAGGTAGGGAACATAGACGGGTCCACCGGAAGGGGACTCTCGTTGAAGAACTCGTGTTTGAGAGCGTCCTCTGCAGTGATACGACGTTTCGGACAGTAAGTGAGGAAACGGTTGAGTAAATCAAAGCCTAATTTGGTGAGCTTTTGCCCCAAACGGTTGTGCAGATTATTGTACGGGTGGTCAGCGAACGCCACTTTCTTCACTAATGGCAGCTCCGAATACTCGGGCCATATCTTGTCGTTAGGAGTTCCCAAGTCCTTGAAAATGGCGTTCAACTGATCGATTTCAGACTTGCCCGGGAATAATGGTTTCATTGTTAAGAGTTCCCCATAAATACATCCGACGGACCAGATGTCGATCGGATAGGAATACTGTTTAGCCTGAAGTAGCAGTTCTGGGGAACGATACCACAGAGTGACCACAATAGGAGTGTACGCCTTAAGAGGTGAGCCGTACTCTCGGGCTAACCCGAAATCGCCAACTTTTAATATTCCTCTGTGACTGAGCAACAGATTGGATGTCTTTAAGTCCCGGTGCAGAATCCAGTTGTCGTGCAGGTGTGCCACGGCTCGCAACAACTGCTGCATCAAAGTCTTAACTTCGCCCAAAAGAAACGGCTGTTTCATGGTTTCCATGAGACTCTTGAGGTCGTGTTCGACAAACTCCATAACGATGTATATCTTATCCATATTAGATCCGACCACAATCTCCCTCACAGTCACTATGTTCTCGTGTTGTGCTTTCAATAGAGTACTGATCTCTCGCAATGATGTGATCGGAAAGCCTTCCTTCTCTTTCTCCATCTTAAGCCTCTTGAGGGCCACCGTCTCGTTAGTCCTCTTATCTCTGGCCCTATAGACCACTCCATACGTTCCCTCTTCGATGCGATTAATGCACTGAAACTCTTCAACACTACGACAGCCCTGTATTGCTGGATAATAATCGGGCAAATCCGAGCTCATCTCATCCCCTAATTCCTCCAATTCTTCACCACTTTTCACACTCTTTTCGATGGCATTAGATTCGGAATAATAGACGACATCGTGATCGACAACAATCCGTGGAATTTTGTCCTCATTTTCATTGTCTTCCGTTGGAATTAAGTCTTCTTTCTTCTCGTGCTCTTCAGCCTCTTGTGTCTCATTTTCAATGGATTCCGAGGAGACATCACTTCGCTCTGAAACAGTGTTGTGTTCTTCACTCAACATCTCTTCCTCACTCATCTCCACCTCTTGGACTTCAATCGTTGCGTTCAATCGCTTTGCCGTTTGTTTGGAATTCTGTGCCGAAGATATGTTTGAAGAGTCCATCACTTTATCCGTGTTTTTATCCAATTTCGGGGATTTCCGTGACTTCTCGCGATTCAATGGTAACTCTTTATTATGTCTTTGTTTATGCAAACGATTAGACGTCTGTTCATTGGTTTTCGACCTCCAGTTCTGGCTGTCATTAGAAGAATAGTTCTTATCGTCCAAAACCATCCATCGCTCCGAAGACTTATCTTTTTCTTTGTCTGTAACTCGACTTCTGATTGGATTGACGTTCGCTTCCGTCTCATCATCTCTTCGGCGACGTTTCACCTCTTCCTCACTCTTAGCACTCCTGTTGTCTGAATACCGACTTTTGTTGCGGTGTTTGTCTCGATGTCTGTCTTTTTGTCTAAACGGCTCCTCTTTTGCCGATCGACTCAAAGACTTTTCGGTTGTATTTCTATAATAATTGGCGTCAAAAGAGTAGTTCTTATGTCTCGAAGAAGTGGAGGCCTTGTGTTGCGGGGGTTTAATGTCGAGCCCCTCCTCATTGGTGTCGTCTAACATGTCTTCGTCTTCGTATTGTTCCACTTCTTCGTACTCCTCATCGGGAGTCGAGTGGTTCTCATCGGAAACGAACTGCAAGTCCGGACTGTCGTTGTCTTTGTGTCTCTTCCGGTGTTTGTTGTCATAGTCGTGGTGTCGATGAGTGTCAGCCCTCTCACCGGCACTCCTCCTGTACTTCTTGTGGCGATCAATCTCTCCGTCTTCTGATTCCGTACTTCTGTCGCTTGTGTTTGACATTTAGTGTCACTTATGTGTCACTCAAACACTTCCGCAAACAAACCGTTTGTGTCTTTAAATAACTCTTGCATTCAATTCAATACCAAAAACCAAACGCTTTTTGAATGTTTGCCGACATTTAACTCAAACCAAAACCATTCACTCATTTCATATGACATTCAATTGAAACATTTCTTTTATTGACCAAACATTCAATGCAAACATATTATATATTTCTACTAAACATATATTTGTCACAATTCTTATAATAATGAGTTAATTATATTAATTAAATGAATGTTTTGTTAAATATAGTAAACTGTATATATGTTTAGGGATTTTGCAATTAAGGCCATACAAGCGATTGTTTTGATAATACCTATTCACATATAATGTTATTTTAACCATAGGGGTGAATAAATGCAATGGTGTAGTAGTATAAAATTGCACATAATTATAAAGTATGAACACAGGGGTCATTACAAGCTATTTAAAACACAAATTTTGTGAGTGATTTGGTGTTAAATCCCTGAAAGCGAGTGAAATCCCCATATATTCTGTGACTACATGTTATGCAATGCATTGAAATTCTGTATAACATTCAGAATACGGCTTATTATGAATTGATCGCATATTAATGTGAATATAAATGTTGAATATTAGTGTATCCTTTAGTGACTCATAAATATTTTATTTATAACTTATGAAAGCGTCAGGTTTATTAATATCTCATTTAGATTAGGATTAGGATTACTATAATCTAGTGAATCGAGTGACACTGACACCGGCTTAGCCTTAGATACACTCATGTATTGGTTTGTGTCATAAGCAAGGAATAGCCAATTGTCACACAATTCGTGTCACTATTAAGTGTATCTAATTTTTGTCAAAATAAATTCAATATTAAAGATAATTAAGCAAATGATTAGACATTTCATGCAAAGAATAAGTGAATATCACAGCCATTAGTGTTGTATTGAAGTGATTGTATACTTTACACTTAAATCTGATCTCAATCCACATCTCAATGAATTAATTTTTATAATTATTTATATGTGATTAACAATTGAGAGATTTGTTTTGCTATTATCAATTATTACATAAGTGAATGATTTGTGTTTTTGAAATTTCTATGTCATTATAAAATTAAAATTATCGCAAATTATCAAATATTGCATTCATTTGGTGTAAGGATTGCATCGAAAGACATCATCGGATATCATCTGATGAATGTGTGGAGCTTTTACTGAAGACACCACTATTGCTATGCATTTCACTCAATACATCATATGATTTAAAGGATCAATGAATTGAATTATTTATTTGAAATCAAGTCTAAAGTTCGTTAAAGTGATAAATTGTGAAATATAGCAGATTTAATACACAATATACTGAATCAACACAAATCAACATTTGATTAGATTTCAAATTATCGATCATTTATTGTAAACACTTGTGATTTGTGACCAAAACTTAACTATATTTAAATCAATCACTTCTTGGAAACGACACAAATTGACTGTTAAAGTGAAGCACTTCTTTAGAACCACTTCTAACGGGAATTCAATGGAAAGACGTGTCGGAAGCGAACACTTGGATCTGTATTTGAGTGATTCTAATCTCGAAGAAGGTATCACTCAAGTGATCAAATCTGTGAGACCCGAGTGGCCAGAGCTGCCCGACATTAAACTCAAAGTCTTTACGGATGGCATCACTAACCGTTTAGTTGGTGTCTATTTGGAGAAGAGTCCCAATGATATGGTTTTGATTCGAGTCTACGGCGAGAAGACTGAGCTCTTTATTGATAGAAAGCAAGAGCTGAGGAATATGAGGACAATGTATAAGTCAGGACTCATTCCCCCCTTCTATTGTTCCTTCAATAATGGCATCTGTTATGGCTATTCGCCCGGAATAGTATTGGACGAGAATCTGGTTAGGGATCCACTCATCTCCAGACTCATCAGCGAAATGTTGGCCCGAATGCATACAATTAAGCCACAAGTGAACCGCTGCCACGAGATGAAGGACTGTGCGCTCGAAGCCGAGCCCTCGCTATTCAGATCCCTTCGAAAGTTTCTCGACTTAATTCCCGGCGCCTTAAAAGACACTCAACGAGACAAACGGTTCGTTATCTTACTTTCACTCTCTTTACTCTTATCTATAATTTTTTGTGTTTTTTGCAGATTTAAGAAATTCATACCAAAGAAACAAAATCTTATCTCTGAAGTGAATTGCCTTGAGTTGAGTCTAAAGAAGTTGTTCTCTCCGGTCGTGTTTTGTCACAACGACTTATTGCTGAAGAATATTGTGTTCAATTCGGATAAGAGCGCCGTTACTTTCATAGACTTCGAATACGCCGATTACAACTACCAGGCCTTTGACATCGCCAATCACTTCTGCGAGTTCGCGGGGGTCGACACATTCAACCCAAGCCTATACCCGAACAAAGAGTTCCAGATTCGATGGCTCCGACACTATTTGGAGGCGTGGGTCGCATTCAAGAACCGTTCGCTTGTGACTAATCCTATAGAGAGACCGTCCATTGAGAAGGAGATCGAGACTCTCTACCATCAGGTGAATCAGTTCGCAATGGCCTCTCACTTACTATGGGGTCTGTGGGCCATCGTTCAGGCCGAGCACTCCACCATTAACTTCGATTACTTGGGGTATGCCGTACAACGGCTCCGGGAGTACTATAAACTTAAAGAGGAACTTCTTATTAATGATGAGATCTATCATTGATTGCCTCTGAGACCAAAGTTTTCTAGTCCTAAATCCCAATTCACAATACAATTTGTAAGAAAGTTTGTATTAAATAGCAAAATCTCATTCCATATGAAAAGCAACACTTTGTGTTCATTTAAATGTTGAATAATTTTATTTCTTTAAATTTTAGGTTTAGTTTTGTAGGTTTACAATGTTTTTCATGTTTTATTTATCACTATTTTTATGATCTTATCTCGAAATGAATTTTATTTTTTGTTAAATATCTTTAAAACAATAATTTGTATGAAATGATTGGTTGAATGCATTAAAATGTTTAATTAATTTTAAACACAATATCAATTGACATCCATTCGTTCAAATTCATTGAGTCTATGTCTGGTCTGCTCTGCGATCAGAGCAATCACTTCAGGCATTAATAGGTCTTTCGGGTGATAAGCCAACTGAACAGATATCTCGAAGGCGTACAGAACACTGGTATCGTTAAGCATCACCTTATGTTTGGCTAATCCAAGGGTGCAATTGCGAAGTCTGGACATTATCTCCCTTTCTTGCAGTGGAATATCACTGAAGTCGAGCACATGTCCTCCAGATTCTGAGCCTTCGGCCACCGTTTGTGAGATCCAAACGAAGCCATTGTTGCCCAGAATAATGTTGGCTCCGATCGGAAGTTTATGGAAGTGATTCTTCCGGCGCTCGATCAGTGACGGCGACACTCTAACCATTATCCCCTGACCCAACTTCCCGTACTTCAGACTCCGGGTGTGGAGTCCGAGGGCTCCGTCTTCGAAGATGTTCTGCACCTCCGCTGAGATAATGTCACCCTCTTTGAGGTAATTCCTCATTGAGATCTCGTCCTCAGCGGTCTTACGTCTGAGTTCACCGCCCGGAAGGTTCACTCCAGACAACTGAAGCACTGAATCCAGTCGTGAGTTGGTCTCCACTTTCCAGCGTTTGTTCTGCACTTCAATGATGCGGCCGACGATCACATCTCCGATCTCTCCGTTATATCGGGTTCTTAGCGGACGAACAGATATGAGACGATTGATGGGCTCAACGATGCCGGCGATCGATGCGATCAGTTGTTTGTCGGTGTCGTTGGCCGACAGGTATGTCCCGTGACCTCTCATGAAGGTCTGGTCGGACGTGATCTCATCGCCCGGTAACACATATTTGACATCTTTGGAGGAATAGTTGGCTTCAATGCTTTTGTCCACCAATTGGCTGCTCACATCGCTTGTGAGGCGAATGCAAACATTATTAGAGATATGAGACATCACTCGTGGTTTGGTTTGTCTTCAGCACTTCACAAGACTTTGAAAATTTCAAACACATTTGGACCACGAGTTGATACAAACACTGTATAACTTAGATATGAATTCGTTTTCAAACCTTTTTATGTATATTTATCGTACAGTTAATGATATAAAAGGTAACAAATGTATGTCACACTTATGGCACTTAGTATTTCATGCATTTGACAACTTTTTGCACAAAATTTAATTTTGAAACTAATTTGTTTGAAATGATCTAACAGTCAGACTCTAATTTATTTAACTACCAAACAATGTGACAATTAAATGGTCAATTGATTTAAGTGTTATTTTAATTAATTGACTATTTTATGTGGAAATCGTAATAAATTTCAATGACTACTCCCTGTATCAGTTTATTTTAGAATTTTTAACTTGCTAAATTAAGATATGTGCCAGGGAAAGTTGAAGTGAGCTCTGTAACTTTAATGAGTTACCTTTATTGGAAAATCCAAAACACTATACAATAAAAAATAAAACATTTAATGCAAATTGTTTTAAAACAATAAATGTAAATAATACTAAACACTATGAAACTAGATTAAATTATATTAAGTTTTTAAAATGGATCGTGTATTTTATAAAAAAAAGTGCAATTTTATTATTAAATGTTTTGTATATTTGATATAACAATACTATTACTAATATAACTCATTAAAGGTACAGAGCTCACTTCAACTTTCCCTGACACATATTATGTAAATTTGATTTAAAATATAAAAATATATTTTATTTTCTATAATATGTATCAAACTACATACAGTATTTTAAACAATTCAAAACATAATAATATAAAAATACAATTTATAGACTATTCTAGTACTGTACGGTAATTGCGATAAGAATCTTAAGTATGCTGGTCATCACTGATCACATTAAGACATTTGAAATGATTGCCGCAAATATTCATCACAATTGGTATGCTTTCCTAATGTAATCAATATGTTGTTAATTTCAATCAAATAATTAATTCAATATAAGTCTCAAAACAACGACAATCACTGCTATCACCAGAAGAAGTGCTATCAAAAGAGCAGATCTTAGAATCCAATGTCTGTATGAAGACCTCAACCGTTGCACAACTCTTTATGAATTCGTTTTCAAACCTTTTTATGTATATTTATCGTACAGTTAATGATATAAAAGGTAACAAATGTATGTCACACTTATGGCACTTAGTATTTCATGCATTTGACAACTTTTTGCACAAAATTTAATTTTGAAACTAATTTGTTTGAAATGATCTAACAGTTAGACTCTAATTTATTTAGCTATCAAACAATGTGACAATTAAATGGTCAATTGATTTAAGTGCTGTTTTAATTAATTGACTATTTTATGTGAAAATCCTAATAAATTTCAGTGACTACTCCCTGTATCAGTTTATTTTAGAAGTTCTCTTAATTTTTAGCTTGCTAAATTAAGATATTATGTAGATTTCATTTAAAATATAAAAATATATTTTATTTTCTATAATATGTATCAAACTACATACAGTATTTTAAACAATTAAAAACATAATAATATAAAAATACAATTTATAGACTATTCTAGTACTGTATATGTACGGTAATTGAGATAAGAATCAAAAGTATGCTGGTCATCACTGATCACATTAAGACATTTCAAATGATTGCCGCAAATATTGATCACAATTGGTATGCTTTCCTAATGTAATCAATATGTTGTTAATTTCAATATTTATTAATTAAGTTATATTCAGAGTTTTGTTGCTGTTAGTGACGATAGTGGTCTTCTTCACGATAGTTTTCTCGTCTAGAATCTTAGGTTACAGACATACTTCTGGAGTTGGCAACGTGTTGAGAATCCACTTGTTCTTTGGTGTGAGTGATGTCTTGGCTGTTGTCGATCACAAAGTCAGACATCCGACACTTCTCATCCAAAGACATTTGAGCGTCGATTCGTGCCACACATTCCTCTTCAGTGAAATTGTTTCGTTCTTTTAATCTCTGGATCTGTTGCTCACGACTGCACTTAACGACAATCGTTTGACTGATATATCGCTTCATTTTTCCGCTTTCGTACAGAAGTGGAAGATCTAAGACAACAAATTGTCTCAACATTAAGAGATATATCAATAATTGTCTGAATATCTGTTTATAGATCTCCGGATGGATTATACTATTCAAGAGCTGTCTCTTCGAGTGGTCATTGAATATGATTTCACCCACTCTTTTGCGGTCCATTTCCCCGCTCTCGAGGATCACATCCGCGCCGAAGTGTTTGCGAATCAGTTTCAATGCCTTCATCCCCGGTCTCACCACATCTCTGGCCACTACATCCGCGTCAATCACATCGACCCCCATCTCAGTCAACATCTTAGAGACGGTTGACTTCCCGGAAGCAATACCTCCCGTGAGACCAACGATGAACATGTCTTCAGCCCAAAGAGTCACTGGATTTTCACCACAAGTTTTGGGAGATTTTTACAAAACCAATGGTGTCTTCACTTCAATGATAACGTAATTTCACACGTTTATTAGTAGCGAACCTAGCGCAAAACAAACCAGAAACTAAATCCAAACCTAAACAGAAGTTAACTAACGGTAAACAAACCTGTAGCTCACCTGTAGCTCACCTGTAGCTCACCTGTAGCGACTCAAAATGAGTGGCGAAACGGTTGGCATTATATATCCGCCGCCAGAGCTTCGAAGTATCCTTTTCTCACACCATTGGACTCATTGGACATCGAGTGGACATCGAGTGGACATCGAGTGGACATCGGACTCAAAATGAGTGGCGAAACGGTTGGCATTATATATCCGCCGCCAGAGCTTCGAAGTATCCTTTTCTCACACCATTGGACTCAATGTCTTAAGACATATAGACTACCACTTACTGATCAGCTAATCTGTGCGAACTCTTGATTTCCTTAACCATTGTTTTTGACATTAAGATATCGTCGATAAGACGGCGAGTTTTGTGGCGCGAAATGGGCCGGAGTTTGAGAGTCGGATCCAACTGAACGAACAAAATAACCCAAAATTCAATTTCTTGAAAGCCGGCGATCCATACAATGCTTACTATCAACACAAATGCAAAGAGTTTAGAGATGGCAACAAACCCGGCAGTGATATCGTCGCCGCCCCCACCGGTCCCCACACCACCGCTGGAGGTATACCCACCCCTACGATCACAAACAAACAGCAACAGCAGACGAGCCTCCAGACAAAGACCAGCAAACAGTTGGAACAGTTTATGGATCCGCCGATCATTCCTCGTGAGCCGCCGCCGGACTACGAGTTCATGGAAGACCCGCCGTCCATATCGGCGCTGGACTTGGATGTGGTCCGGTTGACGGCCCAGTTCGTGGCCATTCACGGCCGATCATTCCTCACGAACCTCATGAACAGAGAGCAACGCAACTATCAGTTCGACTTTCTTCGGCCACAACACGGACTCTTCAATCACTTCACACAACTCATCGAACAATACGCCAAAATACACACACCATCGAAGAATGTGGTGAATCTGTTGGCCAAAGAGTTGGAGAACAATAAGATCTTCTTAGACAAAGTGCGGTATAGAGTGGAGTGGACTAAAATACAAGAGGCGCAGAGGAGGCGTCAGGAGGAGGAGGCCGAGAAGGAGCGCATCCAATACGCGCAGATAGATTGGCACGACTTTGTCATTGTCGAGACCGTCGACTACCAGCCCCACGAACAGGGATTGTTTCCGCCGCCAACTACTCCTGAAAGGGTCGGCTCTAGGATTCTGTTGCAGCAGAGGATTGACGAACAGGGGGTAATGACTAGTCATTTGTTCCGTTATCTGATTCTGTTATCTGATTCTGTGATTCAATGATTACTAACACAAGTGTTGTTTCCATTGACAGCAAGAAGCGGTTGAAATGGACGTCGACTCCGATGAGGAGAATAATGACGGAAACAAAGAGGAAACTAATGGCAACAAACAGAAGGAGTCAATGCCTCCGCCACCACTGCCTCCACTTCCGCCACAATTGGATAATGTGCTCATTCGGAAGGACTATAATCCGAAGTCCACGAAAGCACAGCCGCAACAGAACCCAACCCCGAGTCGATCGACTGATTCTTTCCTCATCTCTCCGATCACTGGCGAGAAAATACCGGCCGATAAACTCCAGGAACACATGCGCTTCGGACTACTGGACCCGCGTTGGGTCGAGCAAAGGGACCGCTCTCTCCAGGAGAAGATGGCTCAGGAGGAGGTGTATGCCGTGGGCTCTGCCATTGAATCCAGTCTTAAACAGTTGGCTGAGAGACGAACTGATATTTTCGGATCAGGAGATGAGGAGACAGTTATCGGTAAAAAGATTGGCGAAGAAGAGCACAAAAAGCCAGAGAAGGGAACAGTTGTATGGGACGGACACACGGCTTCGGTGGAAGCGGCCACTCGTGCCGCCAGAGCTAACATCACTATTGAGGAACAGATCCAACAAATACACAAAATTAAAGGACTTTTACCTGAAGACGATAAGGACAAGATAGGGCCGGCTTTGCCCTCCTCTTCCAACAGCGCCACTATATCCGCGCCGCCCATCACTTCGATGCCCATCATCTCCGCGCCGCCCAAATCCCAAATGCTTTCGACGCCCACTATGTCTATAGTGACGACAACCATAAACTCTGCGCCGCCTGTTATGCAACCGCAACAGCAGATGCAGGCCATGCATCAGATGCATCCCCATCCTCAGCACCAAATGATGCCACCAATGATGATGGGCGGACAGGGAGGCCCTTATATGATGGCCCCACACATGATGGCACACATGGGTTTGTATGGTATGCCAGGGATGCAAATGCCACCCCCGCATGAGATGAATATGGGGCCCAATATGACTCCATTAGGCGTTCCACCGCCTAATATGACGATGTCTTTCGAAGAGGAGCCGAGCGCTAAGAAACAGAGGACTGAAGATAATTTCATACCAGAAGATGAGTTTATAGCAAAGAGCGGACCTAACGTTACGATCAAAGTACAGGTCCCGCAGAGCAGTGAAAAGGCTGAATGGAAACTGACGGGTCAGATGTTGACACTCACCCTTCCGTTGACGGACACCATATCAGTAATAAAGACGCGAATCCATGAGCAGACATCTATGCCTCCGGGGAAACAGAAACTCCAGTTGGACGGCGTCTTCGAGTTCCTGAGGTTAAGCAACCGGATAATATTGTACTGATTGCCGCGGCAGTAACACGAGCCTGAGTTCCTCTCCCCGCCAGCGTTCTTCACTAACGAAGGGACAGAAGTGCTAATGCGGTATGGTAGCATTGATTGACTTTAAAGTTATTTTAATTTTCAAATTAAATTTATTTAGTATTTAATCTCATATCATTTGTAATAAATTGAAATCAAATGCAATGAAGACATTAAGACATGAAATCATTTTATTCTAAAGTCTTTAACAATAATTGACTGAAAAAACTAAACATTGAATCAAATTAAAGGCAAATAACGGCTACTCTTTTGGCTAAGTATTGAACAGAAGTATTGAGAGTAATCTCTAATATATTAATGCTTGTTGTGGGGGTCTTCGGGCAACTCCTCCCACCCGTCGGGCAATGGATTGACTTTGGGGTTATGGAAGAGAGTCCGTTGGCCGTCACCCCACGGGAAGGGCTTCGTCCGGATGCGCATGTATTCGTATGGCTTGAACTCCGGGCGCGAGAAGTGCTCGTGATGTTCCTTCTCCACGAGGTATGTGTTCAGACCCGACAGACCAATGGCAGGGATGCACACGAAGAGGAACACCTTCTGCCACAGACCCGGGTTTGGTTGGTGTCCCGCGTGACCGCCCGCTCCAGACATCCAACGCATGGCTGACCGCAACACCAACTCATTGGCCAGAGTTGGTCGCAGTGAAGACGCTTTCGACAGAATCATCGTTGCCTTCGATGGTCTGATGTATGCAATGGTATTAAGTGTCAAATGAATGGTAAGAATGGTGGCAATGATGGCAATGATTACCTCAAATGGGTTTCAATTTAATATTTAATCGCAATTTTGATCTCAAAATGGTTTTGTTGTTGTGTTTGTCAGTCACTCACATGACATGCGTTCACAGAATTCCCTCAAATCGACATAATTCCCGATTTTGGGGAATATTCCGCCATATGTTGAGTGCATCGTAACCAATGGCAATGTGGCCAAAACATTGGGAGTATTTCACTTCGTTTAGGGATATTTCGGTCATTTGAAAGACAGACAGGAATCGTATGACTTCTTGGGAACAGAATTAATGTTAAGTTTAATTGATTTTATACTTTAAATCAATTGTAACTCATATTAAACCTCTAATGAGATAAAAGCATACATTTATTTAAATAATAAATTCATAACAAATTAATTTGAGACTGTTTATTAAGTTTGAATCTAATAAAAAGTGTTTAAACTTGGAATTAATGCAGAATTAGCATGCTAAATTGGCGTGAATTAGCATTTTGTGACACTTAATCTGTATTCTGATATGAATTTAATAGAAAAAATATGAAATAAACTGTGATTACAATGATATATAGGTGTGAATAGTGATGGATGTGAAGGGATGGTAGGGTTGTTCTGACTGAACGAATGCCAATTCGACACATAATATGATTGTGTGATAAGACTTAACGTGATTATCTCTCTGTTCACAAACTTAACTTGTGTTGAAAGTTTGATATCTCAACACTTGTGTAACAGACGCTTTGTGATAAACTAACGTTAATTACAATTCAGTTAGCGTTCGGAATTGAGTTTCCCAGCCTTTAGTTAAGCATCAAATCAATGCCACAAATATGAGTATTAATACAATTCAGACGAAAGCCGTGGACAAGAAGCTGATCCTCTATGCGTTGGGCATATTTGTCACGTACTTCTACTTCGGTATCCTTCAGGAGAAGATGTAAGCTATCATACGATATGTGACGTGATATTGACATCTGTGGTAATGTTGTGATTGTATGGCAGAACCCGAAGCAAGTATGGGTCGAGTGGTGAGCCCTTCCGGTGCACTGTGTCTCTGGTGTTCATCCAGTGTCTCGTCAACGCATTGTTCGCCAAAATAAGTAAGAAGTGATGAATGGACACAATTTGTCTCATAATCAATGTTATCGTTCAGTGTTGATGACGTTTATGAAACAAGGAGTCGATTCCACCACTAAGTGGTATTACTTCTTCAGCTCGTCATCCTATTTGGCGGCAATGGTTGCCTCCAATATGGCTCTTCAACACGTGAATTATCCGACACAAGTGGTCGGCAAGTCTTGTAAACCCATTCCAGTGATGATATTGGGTGTGCTCGTCGGCCGCAAACGATACCCACTTCTCAAGTATTTGTTTGTGTTTTTGATTGTCTGTGGGGTCGGACTCTTCATGTTTAAGGACAGCGCCGGTAAATCGAGTGGCGCTTCGGCCTCCGCTTTGGGCGCCGGCGAGCTGTTGCTGGTATACACGGATCAGATGTCTGTTTGTGTGCACATTGAGTGATTGAATGAATGATTTTATGGCAGATATTTTCATTGGCGATGGACGGACTGACCGGTGCTTTTCAGGAGAGAATGAAGAATGAATATAAGACCCAATCGGGACATATGATGCTACAGATGAACGTCTGGTCCACTCTCACTCTCGGTCTCATTCTCTTGGTTTCCGGGGAAATATGGACTTTCCTCGAGTTCGTGGGCCGCTATCCATACGTTATCTACAATATAATCTCATTTTCAGTTCTCAGTGCTGTCGGACAGGTATGTCATTAGCGGTTATTATATTCTATGACTACTATTAATTAGCCATTCATTCAAACAGATGTTTATATTCCTAATTGTGGCCAACTTTGGACCCCTTCCCTGTTCTATCACCACAACCACCCGTAAATTCTTTACAGTTTTAGGTTCTGTTATACTGTTTGGCAACTCCCTGTCCAATCGGCAGTGGTTGGGAACTTCACTCGTATTCATAGGCTTAGCTTTGGATGCTTTTTATGGCAAAAATAGTCCAAAACCAAAATCCGTTAAATGACATGAAGTTATATAATATTTATTAATTATTTATTTTAATTTAAAATAATAACAGAATATATGATAAAAAAGTATAACAAATCTCTAAATCCCTGTAAACCGGTATGAAAATTAATATAAAATTTTGCGTCTATTTAAGGTATACATGTAAATTGTGTTAAATATGATTTGAATTATTGTTGGCTTTGTTGTCGATTTCCTTTTCTAATTTGCGATATCTTTGTGCTAAAGGAGTGTAAACATTGAAGGCATCCGATGAAGGGTTGGCTGCAATCGAAGTCGAATCGATTTCTTCAATCATGTCTTCAAAACTTATTTGTTCTTTAATGAGCGCTAAAACACAATATGCGGTCAATACATGTCATATCAATTCAGTCGATTAACTCATTAACTCACAGTATTTTGCGAGGAAAGCGCCGCCTAAAGCGGCTGAGTTGGGTCTGGTCTGCACAATGACCGGTGCGTTGAACACATCGGCTAAGGCCTGGATGATTGTGCCGTTGGCTGAGGCGCCACCCGTCGCCAGGACTCGAGTATTGGGCCCAATATTATAGCCCAGGTTTTCGGCGTGAACTCGAAGTCTGAGGAACTGACCCTCAATACAGGCCCTCACCTCCACTTCTTTCGAGAATCTCTGAACTTCTGCGTCAAACTTATTGTAACGAAAATCACCGGAAATTAAAGGATAGATCTCTTTGAAGTCGAAGTAAAAGCCAATATTTCCGAAGTTTCCTCTGGGAGTGGACTCAAGCAGTTCGTTGAAGAGCGGCCAATCGCCTTCCGCGCACTCGTCTCTCACCCGCTCCCGAGTTCGCGACCCATTCTTGAAGCAAATCAGACCCATATAAGAGCTCTCATCCAAAGGATTGCAAAGTATGTGGCCGTCGAGGGCGGGCTTCGGTTGGTTTAGTCGCAGGAATACAGTATCACTGGTTCCCAGACTGACTGCGATGTCATCTTTGCGTAAACCCATACCTATAAGAGAGGCCGGATTGTCACCCGTGAAGGAGACCACACGACAGTCCGCACTGAAACCATATCTGTCCACAAAATATTGAGATATTGGTCCCACTACTGAAGCGGTCGGTATAAGAGTTTCTCCTAATTTGGTGCTGAGTTCGGGGCCGCAGAAGTCCAGACACTGTTGGGACCACTGGTGTGATGTGATGTCCAATAAGTTCATACCGGAGCCGTCGCTGTAGTCGATGGGCGCGTAATCTCCGATGAAAAGAGAGGCACAGAAATTGCTTACAAGACATATGCGTTCCGTTTGGCCGTACACTTCGGGTCGGGTGTTAAATATCTTTGCGATTTGACTGCCAGTGAATCGTTCATAAGCTCGGGAACCGGAGATGTCGGCCAATCTCTGGGGACCGCCAACCCATTGCTCCAATTGTTTGCAGTATTGTGTTGTACTCGAGTCCATCCAAATGGGGGAATCACGACATGAGAAGCATTGAGACAATTGGTTGTGCAGAAAGTTATC